ATTCACCTCCTTTACCATACTATAGGGCATTTCAATTCCTCACAGACATAAACAAGATGATAACCATGGATGCTCTCCCGGGCGATTGAAGATTCACCGTCTATGTAGGCGCTCTTCCCTGCCGTCTTCTTACTTTCTCATACTTCCGCACTCAAAATCATTCAGAGATTCTCAGTCGGTTTTCAAATTGAGAGGTATCACCTACAATTTTTTAATCTATCAGTCTGAAAATTCATATAGTTTTGATAGATCTCTCTTTTTATGGAATGTCAATATAAATTTATCACTCCATTTCATTTTCCCAAATGATTATTTTGCTAATTGATAAGTCCATTTTTGTACTTATTTTTCTTATCAAATTTAAGCGATTTTTGATTGAAAATAGAAAGAAAAGGCATGTTTTAGATATCTTGGTTCAAGTTTCATGAAATCAGGTGAAAACCACATTCATCGTATGTTTGTCGGAATTTTGGGTCAATTGAGCACAAAATGAGCCAATTTGAGCAACAAATGATATCATACCGAAAGAAGGAGACATTATTTCAAGGTGGTCCAGAAGACAATATTGAAGAGCACAAAATAAGGAACAAGCCGGACAAATAATCTCAAAGGCGGCCGTGCAGGCGGCCACAATGAAGGCCTTCGCGGCCGCCTACGGTATTTTTGGAAAGTCAAACCTTGACTTTGACCGGATTCGGAAAAGACCGTAGGCCGCCGACACTGGACGGAAGGCGGCCGCCTACGGTGACCGCCTGCGGCAGAAGACGACGAAGCAACCACCGGCCGGTGGGATTTGACGGCAGGCGGCCAGACAGGAACGGCAGGCGGCCGCCTGCTGGACCGCCTGCGGCGGCCGGGATCCGCCTGCGGCGGCCGGGATCCGCCGGGATCCGCCGCGATCCGATTTGACCGTGAAACGACGGCAGGCGGCCAATTTTGGTGGAAGGCGGCCGCCCTCTGTGGCCGCCTACGGCTGACGGAGACCAGCCCACGCGAAGTTGCCGGCGATTCGACGGCAGGCGGCCAGTTGCTGCCGGAAGGCGGCCGCCTGCCCGGGCGCCTTCGGTGAAATTTCTCCTATAAATAGCCCGATTTTTCCTCAACTCAAACACACCACTTCCAACCCTAAATCAGTTCAAAACACCCTCTTTCTTCCTCCATTTTCGAGCTCCAAAGGTTTTAGAGAGAGAGAAACTTCAAATCTTCATATCTTCTTCATTTTAGCTCCAAATTGTAAGTTCTTTATATGTATTTTCATCTTCTCAACGAGTAGAATCTGAATCTGCACTTTGTTTGTTCAATCTGTTCTTCGAAAATTTCCAGATTATTTTTCAAGTATTTCGCATTTACTTCCAAAAATTAAATAAAATAGTTATTGTTGTTGAATTCATTCCAATTAATTATATAGTTGTTTACTAGCCTCAAGGTAGTTATTTATCTGAATAAATTAATTTTTCACGAAGCATAAGTAATTTTTAATTAATTTTGGTAATTATTTGAGATTAGTTCATAATTTAGAATAAATACTAGAAAAATAGAAAAAAATTAGTTCGGCCTTAATTTCAGTTTGATTCATAGTAATATCACTCCCAGTAGCTAGAATAAAATTTATAACGAAGTTAGCATATTTTTAGTTGCTTTTTGCATTTTCTAGTTAAAATTGGGAAAATTATCAATTAGTTGTCAAAAATTGGATTTTAGGTTCAAAAATTGGTGAAAAATTCCAGAAAGTTATATTTTAGTTCCTACAAGTTTATTGTTCCAGAATATAATTTTTGTTTAATTTTTGCTATCATACATGTTTAATTCCTTGTTAATGTTGAATTTAATCATTATTTTGTTAATTGCAAAAATGGTGATGAGTAGCTAAATTTGTTAGGGCATGAATTGAGAAAAGGAATATGGATTGACTTGTTGACCTAAAATTAGGGGTTAAAATTAATAAATTGGACTAGTTGTTTGAAATGATGAAATAGTAATTAATAATAGTTAGCCATATTCATTAATTAAATTCTTGGAAAATTAATTCTAACTTGTCTATGAGATTAGAAATTAATTTAAGCCAACCATATTTGAGCACATTAATAAGGCCTAGAAATAGGATAATTTAATGAAAAGGATTTACATCTTGTCTATGAGAAATAAATTCAATTGCTAAAATAAAGAGTTTAACTAGTTAATGAATTTGGCTATTTTTATTAATTAAAATATTGGAAAATTATTTCTACCTTGTCTATGGGTTTAGAAAATAATTTAAGCCAACCATTTTAAACACATTAATGACACCTAGAAATAGGATAAATTAATGAAGATAGTTTCTATTCTTGTCTATGAGGAAAGAAATTATTAGTCCAATTTTAGTTTTAATTTCCCTAATTAAGAGGTCCAAGAACATATCCATTTCTAATTACTCAATTCATTGCCCTTATTTGCATCCTTGAATATTCAATATTTATACATTAATCTTTAAATTGCACCTTGCTCCTAGTTATAATTTAGCGTAATATAGAACAAAATCACTTTCCTATATTGAAAAAGCTTCCAACAATTAGCGATAGCCCGTGACTAAAATTAAATTAAGAAACTTCTCCGCCATTCCTCAAGAGACACGACACTCGGGGAAAAACCGAAAGGTTAGACTCCGTTTTACTACAACGCCGCGAAAGCGGTTATCAAATGGCGCCGTTGCCGGGGAATGGCACGATTATTTCTTGATTTAATTCTAGCATAGGTGAATTCTAGTTAGGGAGACTTTTTCGCCCTTGCGACAATTTGTATAAAGATTTCAGGATAAATGAATGCACACCCGCTCTAAGGGAGTGGAAGGTCTAATTGAACTTGATCCTGAACCTGAACGAACTTTGTGGAAAAATCTTTCAATCCACAAGAAACCAAGCATGGCGGGAGAAAGGACGGTGTTGCAAAATCTTACGCCAAACTTCATCGAGGATGATAGTATCAGCGCACCGGCAATCGAGGCAGCCAATTTCGAGATCAAACCCGCAATTGTCAACATGATGTCCAATCATCAATTTGGCGGGTCCAAGCAAGATGACCCTAGGGCCCACATGTTGTGGTTCACCCGAGCATGCCAAACGTTCCGCTTTAACGGAGTGACCTCCGACGCCGCAAAGTTGACCCTATTTCCCTTCTCATTACGGGATAGGGCATCTTTGTGGCTGAATAGCTTTCCAACGGGTCACTTCACAACATGGGCGGCACTGCACCAAGCATTCATGCAAGAATACTTTCCTCCATCGGCAGTTGCTAAAATTAAAACAGCAATTCAAAATTTTAGACAATTCCCGATGGAGTCCTTAAGTGAAGCATGGGATCGTTTCAAGGATATGAGAAACAAATGTCCACTCACACTGATGGATTCTAGTAGCTTGATGTTCCATTTTTACAATGGACTTCAAGTTAGTAGCAAAAAAGAACTTGATTTCTCTTCTCAGGTGGGATCATTCCTTGACATGGCACCCAACACCAACGAAGCTCTGGTGGAGAAGGTCACTTCAAATGCAAGATACTGGTATGATGAAAGAACTCCAGCAGCAACAAAACCAGGCTATCTTGAAGTTGACCAACTCACGGCCCTAACAGCGAAGATTGAAGGATTGGTCGTGGAAGTGAAGAATTTGAAGAATGATAACAATCACACCAACCAAGTCAACAACATCGGTGCTGTCCCGAATCAACAATCATCCCGATACTTCGGGAACTCAAGCTCTGTCCCCCAGTCATCTCAATTTAATACTTTTTCACCTGTTTCCCATTCAACTGAACTTGTACTCTCTTGTGAGATATGTTTTGGTCCACATTTGACCAATTCATGTCAATTAGTTGATGAATGTAATCTAAGCAACAACAGGGAGGTGAACCTGCTGGAGTATGGCCGAACAAAACAAGAATGGCCATGGGCGAATCAAGGCAACCGGGGGGGTAACTCCAACTACCCTCCTCAGAATTTCCAAGGAAGGAATTACCAAGGTAACCAATGGCGGGGGGATTACAACAATGGTCCTCCTCGCGGCGGTTATCAAGGTAATCAAAACTACCCCAACAATAATCAAGGGAACAACTTCCAGAGTCGGAACCAGGGAGGTGCACCAGCCCAACAGAACAACCAAGCTTATGTGCCTCCACACCAACGACAAACGGAGGCTGCCCAGCCATCAGAGATAGGCTTGTTGGTAGCAGAACTGGCAAGGACACGGGAGGAAATAACAAGATACAAGGCCAGCACTGACAATCAGATCAAAAATCTGATGATGCAAATTAATCAGAACAATGTTCCTGGTCGTCAGCCAGGCAACTTGCCTAGCACCACGGAACCAAACCCCCGTGAACATGTGCAAGCCATCACTCTTCGAAGCGGGAGACAAACAACCGTGGCTGAGCAGAAAGACAAGGAAGAGGAAGGTACCCCGACCATGGAACCTGAGAAACAAACTGATGCTCCAACTGAGAAGAGCATGGAACCAACACGCCCTAACACAAGGGTCACTATCGTCAAACCTTCTCTCCCGTTTCCTTCACGGGTTAGAAATGATGACGATAGCAGGAAGTACAACAAATTCCTGGACCTACTCAAACAACTCCACGTCAACCTGCCGCTGATGGATGCCTTAGCGGAGATGCCCAAATATGCCAAGTTTTTCAAAGACTTGCTGACAAACAAAAGGCAGCTGCAGGAGCTCTCAGTCGTGGACTTGAACGCAGAATGCTCGGCCGTGGTTCTGAGGTCAATACCCGAAAAGCTAAAGGATCCAGGTAGTTTCACTATCCCTTGCTCTATAGACAATTTCAACTTCAATAATGCTCTAGCTGACTTAGGGGCAAGTATCAATCTGATGCCTTCCTCTATAGTCGAAAAGCTAGGACTCGGGGAAATGAAACCCACCAGGATGTGTCTTCAACTGGCTGATCGCTCAGTCAAATATCCGAAAGGAATTGTTGAAGACGTCTTGGTCAAGGTTGACAAATTCATTTTCCCAGTCGACTTTGTAGTAATGGACATGGAAGAGGATAGGGAAACACCTCTTATTCTGGGAAGGCCCTTTCTGGCTACCGCCAGGGCCTTGATTGATGTCACTGATGGCTCATTAACTCTAAGAGTCGGAGATGATCTTTGCACCTTCCGACTCTCAGATGTTATGAAACACCCCACAGATTCTTTTCAAGGATGTCATTTTCTTGATACCTTTGAGTCTATTGAAGGGTATCTGTTTGGGGAAGAAAATGGACATGTAACTGATGAAGCATGTCTGTTAAAAGAAGCCAACAGTGATGTGAGTGATGCATGTGAGAGTTGTGAGGATGCGCTGATTGATCAAACTTCTAACGAAGTATTGACTGAGTTTGAGGGGGAGAAAAATGAACAAAACTTGAAAAACGACCACCCCCTCGAACTAAAGAAACTGCCCGACCACTTAGAATATGCATTCTTGGATGACGAAGGCAAATGCCCTGTCGTCATCGCCGCACACTTAAGTGAGGAACAAAGGGAGAAATTACTTGGAGTCCTTAAGACACACAAGCAAGCAATTGCTTGGAAACTTGAGGACATCAATGGAATTAGCCCCACCTTTTGTACCCACACCATCAAAATTGAGGAAGGGTTTAAACCAGTTGTCCAACCACAACGACGTTTAAACCCAAACATGATGGAAGTAGTGCGTGCTGAGATTGTCAAACTGCTGGATGCGGGTATCATTTACCCCATCTCTGATAGCCAGTGGGTAAGCCCTATTCATGTTGTCCCCAAAAAGGGGGGAATGACCGTCATGAAAAATGAAAAGGGCGAACTTCTACCCAGTCGAACTGTTACCGGGTGGCGAATGGTAATCGATTACCGTAAACTGAACGAAGCCACCCGGAAAGACCATTTTCCCCTTCCCTTCATCGATCAATTAATAGAGAGGTTGGCAGGCCATAGTCACTACTGTTTCCTGGATGGCATGAGTGGATACTTCCAAATCCATGTCAACCCGGAAGACCAAGACAAAACTACGTTTACATGCCCTTTTGGGACCTTTGCTTTTCGTAGGATGTCCTTCGGTCTCTGTAATGCCCCTGCCACCTTCATGAGGTGCATGATTGCCATTTTTGAAAAATACATTGGCCACTTCATGGAGGTATTCATGGATGACTTCTCTATTTTTGGGGAAACATTTGAAAAATGCCTTGAAAACCTGGAAAAAGTACTTATCCGCTGCAAGGAAACCCATTTAGCCCTAAGTTGGGAGAAATGTCACTTCCTTGTGAAAGAGGGTATAGTACTTGGACATAAAGTGTCAAGTAACGGGGTAGAGGTGGACCGTGCAAAAATAGAGACGATAGAGAAACTTCCTCCACCAACCACGGTAAAAGCCATCCGCAGCTTCTTAGGACACGCGGGCTTTTATCGTCGTTTCATAAAGGATTTCTCTAAAATCGCAAAACCTCTCACCCGGTTACTTGAAAAAGATGCGGTTTTTATATTCTCTGATGAATGTCACCATGCTTTCCAAGCACTTAAAACACAACTGATCAATGCTCCTGTGCTTGTGACCCCGGATTGGAGTTTACCCTTTGAACTCATGTGTGACGCTAGTGACTTAGTAGTGGGGGCCATCCTTGGTCAAAGGAAGGACAAGAACTTCCACCCAATCTACTACGCTAGCAAAACTCTATCAGGGCCACAACTCAACTACACTACCACTGAAAAAGAATTCCTTGCTATTGTTTGTGCTTTAGAGAAGTTTAGGACTTACATCATTCTTTCGAAGGTTATTATCTATACCGACCATTCGGCCATTAGATATCTCCTCCAAAAGCATGATGCTAAGCCTAGACTGTTACGCTGGGTTCTTTTGTTGCAGGAATTTGATATTGAAATCAGGGACCGAAAAGGATCTGCTAATCAGGCAGCTGATCACCTCTCGAGGCTAGATGCCGAGTTAGCAGAAACTTTCGGAAAATGCGAAATTGAGGAGCTTTTTCCTGCTGAGAGATTGATGGCGATTTCCGCCAAGGAGCAAACACCGTGGTATGCCGACATTGCCAACTACCTTGTTGGTAAAGTCAAGCCTACCGAACTGACAAGGCACATGAAAAGGCGGTTCCTATCAGAAGCAAAGCACTATTTTTGGGATGATCCATATCTATTCCGAATTTGTGCTGACCAGGTGGTGAGAAGATGTGTTACTGAAGCTGAGGCAAGGGACATTCTGGAGCATTGTCACAGCGGCCCTACTGGGGGCCATTTCTCAGGGAATAGAACCGCAAGGCGGGTCTTGGACTGTGGGTACTTCTGGCCCACGATTTTTAAGGATGCTAATGTATTTGTTTCTTCTTGTGATAACTGTCAACGAATCGGGAACATTTCTGGGCGCAATGAGATGCCCCAACACTTTATCTTACCTTGTGAGGTATTTGATGTTTGGGGCATCGACTTTGTTGGACCTTTCCCAAGCTCAAGAGGAAACAAATACATTCTTGTGGCCATTGATTATGTTTCTAAATGGGTTGAAGCCCAGGCCTGTGTCACCAACGACTCTCGAGTAGTCGTGAATTTTCTGAAAAAGCTCTTTACCAGATTTGGTGTGCCTAGGGTTTTGATCAGCGATAGAGGGACTCATTTCCACAATGATCCAATGGCCAGAATTTTGGCCAAATATGGAGTCCAACATCGAAGCGGAGTAGCGTACCACCCCCAAACTCAGGGACAAGTGGAAAACGCTAACAGGGATTTGAAGTCCATTCTGGAGAAAACTGTTGCCCAGACCAGGAAAGACTGGTCAACTAAACTTGACGACGCTCTTTGGGCATTTCGGACTGCTTACAAAACCCCGATCGGAACCACACCTTTTCGCCTTGTATACGGGAAGTCTTGCCACTTACCCGTCGAACTCGAGCATAAAGCACTTTGGGCGATGAAAAATGTCTGTTTTAAACTGGATACTGCAGGGAAGGAACGATTTTACCAGCTGAATGAATTGGAAGAATGGAGAGCGCAAGCTTTTCATAATTCCAAACTTTACAAGGAACGAGCCAAACTCTACCATGATCAACACATCAAAGCTCGTGATTTCAATGCTGGAGATAAAGTGCTGTTGTTCAACTCCCGGTTGAAGCTTTTTCCAGGAAAGCTTAAATCAAGATGGTCCGGACCATTCAAGGTCATAAAAGCTTACCCCTACGGAACTGTTGAGATTGAAGATGCTAATGGGGCTCCCTTTAAAGTCAACGGCCACCAACTTAAACTTTACCATGGCGGCCCGATTGAAAAAAGCAAGGAGATTCTCTATCTCCAAAAATTTTGAACCAAGGGAGGACATTCGTCAAGCTAGTGACGTTAAAGAAGCGCTCATTGGGAGGCAACCCAACCAAAAAAAAAAAAAAAAAAAAAACTAACCCAAAACTATTTTACTTTGTTTATTTCTTGCAGATGTCTGGAGGAAGACGTGACGATCCCATTTTCGAGGAGCCACCACTAGGACGGGAAGACCCGCCACCTCAGCCTGATATCCCATTTGCTACTATTGCTGATCGCAGACGCTTCCAGGCATGGGGGCAATACCGCACACTCCTTCCTCCCATGATCCTGGACCCGACGATGCTAGAGGAATGGGGGTACTGGGATGACATTGATGCCCTGCTAGGAGACTCTTTATGGCGGAGGATTCTATTCGTTCAGGAGAGGGCCAGCCTTCCATTGACGATGGAGTTTCTGTGCTCCGTTCAGTTCACTCATTACGGACAGGCTGTGCAGGAGGGTGCTGTTATTGGGTCAGAGTCTCGGATGAGGTTTACTATTCTAGGCATGGAGCACTCCATCACTGTGACTGAGCTCGGATGGAGGATGGGGCTCTATACCCCAGCATACACACAGACTGAGGAGTTCCGTGCTCTTCCGACCCGCTTACCCGAGGCATTTCACATTGATGAGTTCTGGCACAGACACTCCACAGACACCAGATCATTTCTCCGGATGCACCCCCATTCGAACAAATGGAGGGAGACTCACTGGTACATACTCTCGTTCGTACTTTCTTGTGGTTTTTTTGGACGACCTAACAACACAAACAGGTTGTCCAAAAAGGACATACTATTCTTTTGGAGTTTGATTCACCGCATCCCGGTGAATATGGCTGTCCTTATGGCTCGTTTCTTCCGGAGCCAGGGGAAGACTGTGCGGCGCACTATCCAGGCAGGGCCTTTCATCACTACCCTCGTTAGATCATTCTACCCAGATCTAGACATTCCAGGGCTATCACATTTACAGGAGAGCATCCGCGTTCTTCGATCCTCATCCTTTACCAACATGAGGATCAAGAAGAAGCGGAATACTCAGGAGCTCCCAGGTATTGAGCAGCCGACCCAGCAGAGTAGTTCTTCTCGACCCTCAGGACATGAGGGATCTAGCGAGCCCTTTTCATACATGCCTAGCGCCGCAGATTGGAGAGCGATGATGGATGGGATGAGGAGTCTACAGACCTCAGTCTCAGAGATGCGGGTTGCACAGGACAGAGGATTCCAGGAGATGCGAGGTGCGCATGAGACGGCCCTGGGAGAGTTCAGAGACTTTCGATTAGCTCAGGAGAGAGCCACCCGGGATATGCAGGCGGAGCTAGAGACCCAGAGGCTAGATATTGATGAGATGAGAGATTGGCTTAGGCCACACTATGGCCCTCGGGATTACGCAGACGATGCTTAGTTTTGCTTCTTCCTTGACATTTGTTTATTGTGTTTGTTTGTTTCTTCAGGTTGGACATTGCGCTGCTCTTTTGACTTGAATGCTCTTACAAACTGACTACGGATGATGTAAGGATTTTAAAAAACCATTTTACTCCTGTTTCATTATTCCTCTTCACAAAATCTTTTCAAAACTCAAGTGTGAGGAAAGAACCAAAAATAAAAAAAAAAAAAAATAATAATAATAAAAAAAAAAAAGGGAAAAATGTGCCTTTATTTCCCAATTTTGTGCCTCAAAAGAAGACCTCGAGGGCGAGGTCCAGCTCAAGTGTGAGGAGGTTGCGTTTTACACTCGAAAGTTAAAACCTTATTTTAGAACAATCTTTTTACTATTTTTGACATGAAACATTAATTTCTCAATTTGTTATCAATCACAAAATAGTTTAGATAATCACCCTTATTATAAGAATTCACTTTTATTATTATTTTTAGAAAACTTAAATTTGTTATGGGTTTTTGGTTGCGAATGTAAAGGGCCGAATTTGTTTTAATTGGACATTCATTTTTTTCATAAAAAAAAAAAAAAAAATGTTACTATTAATAAACCTCTTCAAAACTCATTGTTATAGGACAATTCCATCTCCGAAAAGGGGCTCTGTTTCATTCGTTAATCACAGTCTGTGAGAATGAAATATGCATTTACCATGGGATAACACCGCCAACAAAGAGTGAAAAAGAGCAAAAAAAAAAAAAAAAAAAAAAAAATAAAAAAATAAAAATAAAATGGTGAACAAGATGAATGTCCAAATTAGAATAATGAAAACTTTGGGATAAGGAATTGATCGGTGGTTTAACATAATCAATAGTTTTCTTTAGTAATAATAATAGTAAATTCATATATCTTGGGTGATTTTTCTAAAAAAAAAAAAATTGAGAATAAAAGAGAGGTTTTTGTTTCTACTTCTTTAATAGCAATTCGATTGTGATATAGTCAGGTTTTCCCTTTTTGAGTGTGTTTCCAACTAATTCGTCGCTTGAGGACAAGCAACGCTTAAGTGTGAGGAGATTGATAAGTCCATTTTTGTACTTATTTTTCTTATCAAATTTAAGCGATTTTTGATTGAAAATAGAAAGAAAAGGCATGTTTTAGATATCTTGGTTCAAGTTTCATGAAATCAGGTGAAAACCACATTCATCGTATGTTTGTCGGAATTTTGGGTCAATTGAGCACAAAATGAGCCAATTTGAGCAACAAATGATATCATACCGAAAGAAGGAGACATTATTTCAAGGTGGTCCAGAAGACAATATTGAAGAGCACAAAATAAGGAACAAGCCGGACAAATAATCTCAAAGGCGGCCGTGCAGGCGGCCACAATGAAGGCCTTCGCGGCCGCCTACGGTATTTTTGGAAAGTCAAACCTTGACTTTGACCGGATTCGGAAAAGACCGTAGGCCGCCGACACTGGACGGAAGGCGGCCGCCTACGGTGACCGCCTGCGGCAGAAGACGACGAAGCAACCACCGGCCGGTGGGATTTGACGGCAGGCGGCCAGACAGGAACGGCAGGCGGCCGCCTGCTGGACCGCCTGCGGCGGCCGGGATCCGCCGGGATCCGCCGCGATCCGATTTGACCGTGAAACGACGGCAGGCGGCCAATTTTGGTGGAAGGCGGCCGCCCTCTGTGGCCGCCTACGGCTGACGGAGACCAGCCCACGCGAAGTTGCCGGCGATTCGACGGCAGGCGGCCAGTTGCTGCCGGAAGGCGGCCGCCTGCCCGGGCGCCTTCGGTGAAATTTCTCCTATAAATAGCCCGATTTTTCCTCAACTCAAACACACCACTTCCAACCCTAAATCAGTTCAAAACACCCTCTTTCTTCCTCCATTTTCGAGCTCCAAAGGTTTTAGAGAGAGAGAAACTTCAAATCTTCATATCTTCTTCATTTTAGCTCCAAATTGTAAGTTCTTTATATGTATTTTCATCTTCTCAACGAGTAGAATCTGAATCTGCACTTTGTTTGTTCAATCTGTTCTTCGAAAATTTCCAGATTATTTTTCAAGTATTTCGCATTTACTTCCAAAAATTAAATAAAATAGTTATTGTTGTTGAATTCATTCCAATTAATTATATAGTTGTTTACTAGCCTCAAGGTAGTTATTTATCTGAATAAATTAATTTTTCACGAAGCATAAGTAATTTTTAATTAATTTTGGTAATTATTTGAGATTAGTTCATAATTTAGAATAAATACTAGAAAAATAGAAAAAAATTAGTTCGGCCTTAATTTCAGTTTGATTCATAGTAATATCACTCCCAGTAGCTAGAATAAAATTTATAACGAAGTTAGCATATTTTTAGTTGCTTTTTGCATTTTCTAGTTAAAATTGGGAAAATTATCAATTAGTTGTCAAAAATTGGATTTTAGGTTCAAAAATTGGTGAAAAATTCCAGAAAGTTATATTTTAGTTCCTACAAGTTTATTGTTCCAGAATATAATTTTTGTTTAATTTTTGCTATCATACATGTTTAATTCCTTGTTAATGTTGAATTTAATCATTATTTTGTTAATTGCAAAAATGGTGATGAGTAGCTAAATTTGTTAGGGCATGAATTGAGAAAAGGAATATGGATTGACTTGTTGACCTAAAATTAGGGGTTAAAATTAATAAATTGGACTAGTTGTTTGAAATGATGAAATAGTAATTAATAATAGTTAGCCATATTCATTAATTAAATTCTTGGAAAATTAATTCTAACTTGTCTATGAGATTAGAAATTAATTTAAGCCAACCATATTTGAGCACATTAATAAGGCCTAGAAATAGGATAATTTAATGAAAAGGATTTACATCTTGTCTATGAGAAATAAATTCAATTGCTAAAATAAAGAGTTTAACTAGTTAATGAATTTGGCTATTTTTATTAATTAAAATATTGGAAAATTATTTCTACCTTGTCTATGGGTTTAGAAAATAATTTAAGCCAACCATTTTAAACACATTAATGACACCTAGAAATAGGATAAATTAATGAAGATAGTTTCTATTCTTGTCTATGAGGAAAGAAATTATTAGTCCAATTTTAGTTTTAATTTCCCTAATTAAGAGGTCCAAGAACATATCCATTTCTAATTACTCAATTCATTGCCCTTATTTGCATCCTTGAATATTCAATATTTATACATTAATCTTTAAATTGCACCTTGCTCCTAGTTATAATTTAGCGTAATATAGAACAAAATCACTTTCCTATATTGAAAAAGCTTCCAACAATTAGCGATAGCCCGTGACTAAAATTAAATTAAGAAACTTCTCCGCCATTCCTCAAGAGACACGACACTCGGGGAAAAACCGAAAGGTTAGACTCCGTTTTACTACAACGCCGCGAAAGCGGCTATCACTAATCGATTTTAATATTTTGTTATATTTCGAGATTTTTTAGTTGGATAGATCTGTTAATGTCGATATCTATCAATTTTCCTAGGACATAATTCAATTGATGTTGATGTCTATGTACAAGTGCTCTCAACTAAACGTGAGAAGTGTAATGGTTCATAGGGTGAATTGGCATCACTGTTTGAGTTTAGATATTCCATCTATGGCATATGTTTAGAAGTATAATGGTTCAAAATCTGATATGTTTAGATCGATATTCCTTCTATGGCATAACATCTTTTTATCTTTTGAGAAGTAATTAACTTGTTGATTTAACCAGTTTGCTAGTGGGTTATGGGCAGAATTTTTCCTCAGAAACTTTTAATACCTAACTAAGTAAACTAACTATTTTGATTTCTTCCGGTTTGAGTTTTGATAACCTCTTTTAAGGGTGAATTGGCATCACTATTTGCCGCATAATTATGTTTTTCAACTGGAGTTGATTTTGAATTTCACACTATTGTAAGCCTAAATTTTGTAGCAGAACTTCAGGTTAAGGACTTAAGGTTTTTGTTTTTTTATCTATTCCCGCACTTAGAATCTAGTAGGCATTAGTGGTTATTTTTTTCTAAATAGGATACCAAGACCAACTAATTTGGTTGCAATAGACAAAGTTGAAGGTAGGTTGTGCTGCTGGTTTATTTTTAAGTATGAGGGTAGGTGGTGTGGCTTTGGTAATAAGTTGCTGCTAAATGGTTCCAAAATTAAAAAGTCTATTTTGATAAATATGATCAAAGATGCATTGGTCACTTTATGATCATATACAAATGCTTTCATATTCTTTTTTTCACTTATTTGTTCATTCAATGTTCATATCTTTGGTTATGGTGTAACTAAAGCACGAATTGAATTATGGTGTCCGCTTGTTAAAGTATTAACTTCATGAAGGTTTTTGGTATTTTTGGTTAGGAATTTAGTAAACATCTAGAAATTGTACATTGAACTTGGACTGCTAATTGATGCGTGAATAGATGGTTATTCTGTTTATAACCAGAGCACGAATTTAATGATTTTATTTGACTATGTTGTTAATCTTTTAATTCGTTTATTTATATGTACGGAATGAGCGAAGGACTGGGAGTTAGTTGAAGCTAAAGATAAATTAATGGATAAGGAATGGATGAAATTAAAAGATCGAGGTGCTCCAGAATATTTGCGTGGGATAAAAAAATTTGTGCTCAAAAACCTTATCCATGAAGGATCTTGATGCTCTTGAAAGTCAGATTCCTCACACATTATGTAAGCTGAAAATGATCTTCCCGCCATCTTTTTTCTCTGTCATGTTGCATCTTGTTATTCATCTTGTGGCAGAAGCAAAGATTGGTGGTCCAGTAAGGTACCGTTGGATGTATTCAATTGAGAGGTATGTCAAACTCAGTACATCATTCATATGTTTCTACAATTAAATGCCAATTTACGTACCCTAATTGTTTTTATCTACACTTTATCTTAGGTACTTACGTACTTTGAAGTCCTATGTTCGCAACAAAGCATTACCAGAAGGTTCAATTTCAAGGGGTTACTTGGCAGATGAATGTTTGACATTTTGTTCTAGGTATATGGATAATATGACGACTAAGTTTAATCGTCCATCTCGAAATGATGATGATGATGAGGTTTCCAGCACTAGCAAGTTGGAGATCTTTAGATCTACTGGTCGTTCCCTAGGAAAACCCACTCCTCGCCATCTCAATGTAGAGGAGTTTGAACAAGTTCACTTATATGCCCTCCATAACTCTGATGAGCTCTTAGAATTTGTAAAGTAAGATCACTTGATTCTACACTATGTGTAATTTTATGTTCACTTATGTGACAATTTGATGGTTTTGAATTTCTTGAAATATTAGGGAGCATAAAGAGATGCTTTCCATTGTAAACTCAACCCCTAAAAGCGTAGAGATTAGACATAAAGCTCAATTTGCAGATTGGGTCTGCAGTCGTGTATGTGATCTATAACTTTTTTATATTGATAATTTATAATACACTTTTCATTTATATTGATGTTTTTGTCATATTTTTTCACTATTAGGTGTCACATATGTATGAAGAGGGATCTGTTCATGAGGATTTATACTACTTGATTTGCGGTCCTTTGCGTACAGTAAGGTGTTATAGTGGCTACATCGTGAATGGGTTTAGATTTCACACTCTTGATCGACAAGAAAACAGAAAAACCCAAAATAGTGGTGTAATGGTCCGAGGAGATGACCACTCAGATAAAGAGTATTATGGTGTCCTTAGAGATATTTATGAGTTGCAATATCCTGATGTGAATCATTTATTTGCCTTCAAATGTGATTGGTATGATGTGCAACATCAAGGGAAAGGGTACAAAGTTGATGAATATGGACTCATTAGTGTGTGCAGTGATCTTGCTTTAGCAACACACGAGCCTTTTGTATTAGAGTCACAAGTGGAGAAAGTTTTTTATGTGCCAGATCCAAGAAACAAAAGGTGGCTTTATGTTATAAAGAGAGCCTCGAGACTTGTATAATATGCCTAAGACTCTCATCGATGAGAACACACTTGATCAAGTTAATGATGAACCAATGCAACAAGAAGAGATTCAGACATCTATTGTATACCCAACGTCTTCCAAATATCCGGAGAACATGAATTTGGCTACACAACATTTTTGAGTGGAAAGAAGAGCTGATGTTGTGAAATGGATTAACAAAGAAACGAAGAAAATAAACCGACAAAGACACTAGAAAAAAGAAAACATGGATGCCAGTTTTTTGTCACATTCTGTTAGATCGTTTATGCATTTTATTTTTCAGTATATATTTTGTAATGAACATCTCAATATCTCTCATGAGTGTAGATTTTTTCATACTGGTTTATTACTTACTGATTTTATTATTCACATTTTTTATTGATTTTAACACAAGAGTAGCTGCATGCAGGTTTTTATTTATTATTTATTGCATCATGGAACTATATTCTAATATTTGATGCTTTCAAAGCATTTTTCTAATACAGATATGGTGGGGCGAGGTAAAGCTAAGGTATTTCAAAGGAGCCTAGGAGGTGGATCAGGTAATCTATCAAATTTCATCTATAATGAAGTGCAAAGAAATTGTGCTATTGGTATGGTGGGGCAAGATCAGGCTAGGAAAATACGAAAGAACAATGGAGGTGGATTACAAAATACATCAAACTCTGTCTTCAATGATGCCCAAGAAATATCAGGAGATTATTCAAGTATGGCGGGGAGAGGTTCAGGGAAGATAACACAAAAGAATACTCAGGGTGGACTGAACAAGACTTCAAAATTTGTCCATAACAAAGCTCAAAGCATGCGGGAAGCGAAAACTAATAAGGCAAGGAGAGATCATGTTAGGAAAATTCAGAAAAATATTAGAGTTGAAAAATGAGTACATCAGGATTTTTAAATGATGATACACAGATGGCTCAAAATACATCAAACTCTGTCTTCAATGATGCCCAAGAAATATCAGGAGATTATTCAAGTATGGCGGGGAGAGGTTCAGGGAAGATAACACAAAAGAATATTCAAGGTGGACTGAACAAGACTTCAAAATTTGTCCATAACAAAGCTCAAAGCATGCGGGAAGCGAAAACTAATAAGGCAGGGAGAGATCATGTTAGGAAAATTCAGAAAAATATTAGAGTTAAAACAACGAGTACATCAGGATTTTTAAATGAAGATACACAGATGGCTGATACAGGCTCAAATAGCAATAATCATGATTATGAAGAGAATGAAAATGACAATGACATGAAATCATCACATACTTCAGGTAAAAGCCTTGGTTCCAGTGCATTAATTTTTATTTAGAGAAGTTTACATAGACAACTAGTTTTACTTATGGTTAATTATATATCATATTTGTCAAACATAAAAAAAAAATCTTTTATATCACTCACCAACATATTTTTATGATGTATAGGGGAGGACAAATTGAAGTATGCAAGCAGGTTTTCTAGTAGAGTTCAAGCTATTCTAAGTTCTCAAGAAGTAGCAGATCCAACTCCAGGGAAGGAAATCGTGTAGATGGAAATCTACCTCAAAATGTGAGAACCAAGTATTTTCATGAAAATAGGCAAAACAAAGGTGAAACGCAAATGAATAATTCAAATAGTAGTCAAGGTAATCAGTTCGCCAAATATCATTTAGTTCTATTCAAATAATTTAAATTCTTATGATGGATATATTATTGTAAGCTATAAAAGGAAAAGGGGGAAAAGAGGAAAATACAAAAGTTTAGCACTTGAAAAGAAGACTCTAGGTGGTCAATTTAAGCTTGACATTGAAATACCAGATTTTGTTCTCCAAGCTGTAGGAGAGAATGCAAGGATGATAGTAAACTTTTGTGGTTATGTGTTGAGGACCACGGCTCCAATGGATGCAGGAGATTGGTCTGATGTCTTTGCAAAGTATGGCTCTTCAATGTGGTTGCAAGTGAAGGTATACTTTACTAGTTCAAATCAAGTTAAATGTTAACATTCTATATTTTTTGTAACTCTATTTAGCAAAATGTTGTTGAGTTTTTAACATTACCCCTGAAAATGAACAGAACAAGTTCAACATTAAAGATTCTTGTACACAACTCGAACGGCTTCATGCTTTTGCTATAGACGCAATGCAACGATTATATAGACTCTGGAAGGCACGGTTGCATTGTTACTACAAGGAATGTGGAGACACTTATGAGGAGCGTTTAGAGAATCCTCCTGATGATTTTCCAACTAAAAACTGGAGAGCGTGTTGTGCAACATTTAATTCAGAGAAGTTTAAAGTAAGTTTCAAAAGGTTATTATTAAGTTGATGTCCGTTAATATAGATGTCTCTCCTGCTTAATTGGAAAATTATTTTCTTCTATCAATTAATAGGTTATTGATATCCTATAACATGCTGAATTGTTATTAACTTGCAGAAAAGAAGTCTAAGAAATAGTAAGAACAGGAACTCGGATAATTGGTGTAAACATACCACAGGGAACTTGTCCTTTCCTGAGGTGGAATACATACTGGTAAGCTTGCATAGTATAATACTTATGTAATTGTTGTGATGAGTTGAGTTGCTACTTTTAATTAGATTGCCATGAGAGAAGTCTTTTGAATTCATCAATGCCAAGTAATGATGTTGCTGCAGACTATGAAGAACGATAATGTGCTCCCTCCTGCGGATGTTGTTTGGCTTGTTGAACACACACACACAAATGGTGAAGGTGTACTGGAATGGGTTAATGATAGTCGTTCAAAAGACATACATGTGAGTTTTTTTAAGTCTCGATTCTTTCAGTTTCAAATTGACTCTGGTCCAAATTTATGGGAACATTCATTGGCTTCATATTTTCAGAAACAATTGCATCAACTTGTGCAAGACAAAGACAAAGAACCTGAAGGAAGTCAACCCCGTCCACAGACACAAGAAGACATGTTGCTTCATGTACTTGGCCCAAAGTCTGGATATACTCGTGGTAAAGGAAATGGATACGGAGGCTCAGCCAAAGCAAGATTGCAAGTGGAACAACAACAAAAATTGAGGCAGCAACAAGAAAAAATAACTCATCTCCAAAATGAATTAGAGGCAACTAAGAAAGAGATGGAAGAATACAAAATGAATCAAACCCGCACTATTGCTGCGTTGGAGGAACGACTTATTGAGATGATAACTCGTAAGACTAGGTATGAAAATAATTCTATTCTCTTGTCTGAGAACTGAAAAAAGAAGAAGAAATAAAATTGTTTTTTTCAAAGTATGACACATGTTTTTGTGCTTACATTTTCCTCTTTCCAATTTTAAGCAGGAAAGAGCTTCATGATGATGATGATTACGAATGAGAAGTCCTGTACAAGCTGAAAGTTGGACTTTTATATATGATAATCACCTTATATGAGAAGTGATTTTTTTCATTTAACATTTTAAGTAAAGTTAGACTATGCGTGGAGTTGGTTGTGCAGAATTACAAGACGTTTTATACAGTGAACAATTATTATATGCTTGTATTGAGGATTGAGTTTTTATTGATTTTTGATTTGCTTTTGGAGCACAATGTTTGATTTGCTCTGGATTTCTATAGCTATATATGGATTTCTTGCGGCTATTTGCGGTGTTTTAGTCTGTAACTCACCATTCCAAATTGTGTGTGTGGGATATATGTGTTCAGATTTTTTTAAAAACAAACTTAGGTTGTTGCAAAAAATAGTTTAGTTATTGATTTTTGGTAACGAAAAATTAAATATTGCAAAAACTCATACTTTTAGCAACAAGGATTGTTGTTGTGGCTTTGATTAATACGTTGTCTCTAAAAGTAAATATTGGCAACGATAAGGTTTTGGAAACACAACATTTGTTGTGAAAAAATATCTTTTAGACAATAGAAAAAAATTGTAGCAAAAACTTTTAGTAACAGAACTTCCCACAACAAGGGAATGTTATTGCAGAAAACTAAATCTTGTTGCCAAATCTATTTTTGGCAACAAATTTTTTTATTACCAAAAAGAAAATTTCTTGTAGTGACAAGGACATCGGGACCGAGCAGTGGCCCGACGGGTACACGGAATCAAACCGGAGCTTCTCAAGCGAGCCGGGGACATGGGGGAGCGAGTACGAGCAACGCGCCATCCGTGAATCAAGGAAGAACTCAAGCTAGAGTTTATGCGATGACGGAGGCGGATGCTCGAGCTAACCCGGACTCGGTTGCAGGTATTGCCTCTTGCACAATTGTATTTTGTCCATATTTAATCCATAAATTGATGACATAAGTCATAGGGATTGAGTGCGAGCCATTACGGGGTCAAACGGCGAAATTCGGGCCAAAACTGACCAAAAACAGGGACGCACGATTGTGCAACCAACCCCACGCACGATTGTGCGTAGGGGGCAGTGGCTCCGGGTGATTTTCGCGCAGGACGCACGACCGTGCGTGCCGGTACGCACGCCGTGCGTGGACGCACGATCGTGCGTGTCCGGGTACGCACGACCGTGCGTAACCGGCAGTGGCCGGAAGTGAGTTTTTCATGCACGCACGACCGTGCGTGTCACACGCACGACCGTGCGTGTCCCACGCACGACCGTGCGTGGACCCCAGCCGCCCGAAACACGATCTTTTCATCTCGTTCTTCTACGATTGGGCCCCCATTTGATTCCGAACATTTATATGAACCTATTAACCTCCCAAAAAGTGCCTGAACCATTAGAAAGGGTATCTTACATGGTGTATAAATGTAGGGACATTAAAGATTAATGGGAAGGATGCACGAATCCTTATCGATATCGGAGCGCAACGTTCGTTCGTGAGTGAAGCGTTCGCCGAGAACTTAGGGGTACAATCAATACCAATGACGCACACATTAGTGGTATCAACACCACTAGGGGATGACGTTGAAAGAACTAGTTACTATCCATCTTGTGAGGTGGAAATTGATGGCCAAACCTTGACGTGTGATTTCGTACCGCTGAGTATGATGGAATTCGATGCAATCCTAGGGATGGATTGGCTAGAAAAGGATCATGCTAGGGTATATTGCTACACAAAGGTTTTGGAACTCGAATGCAATAATGGGGACACCCTACGCTTCGAGGGGGATCGAGGCAAATCAAACAGTTGTATTATTTCCGCCGTGAGAGCGAGAGGTATGATGAGAAAGGGATGCCACGCATATCTAGCATACGTGGTTGACAAAATCAAGGAGGAAACGAACATCGACGACGTGAGGGTGCTTTGTAAGTATCCGGATGTCTTTCCTAAAGACCTACCGGGGCTTCCACCTGATAGGGAGATTGAATTTGTGATCGAGGTCGAGCCTGGTACCAAACCAATCTCCATACCGCCATACCGTATGGCACCTGCTGAACTTAACGAGTTGAAAACCCAATTGCAAGAGCTTTTGGATAATGGTTTCATTAGACCAAGCCACTCCCCGTGGGGAGCACCAGTTCTTTTTGTGAAAAAGAAAGATGGGACACTTCGAATGTGTATTGACTATCGTCAACTGAACAAGGTCACAATCAAGAATAGGTATCCCTTGCCTAGGATTGATGACTTGTTTGATCAACTACGAGGGGCAGCCGTGTTTTCAAAGATTGACTTGAGGTCGGGTTACCATCAATTGAAGATTAAGAAAGATGACATACCAAAAAGTGCTTTTCGCACAAGGTATGGGCACTTTGAATTCCTTGTTATGTCGTTTGGGTTAACAAACGCCCCAGCGGCATTCATGGACTTGATGAACCGAGTATTTCATAAATACTTGGACCGATTTGTGATTGTGTTCATAGATGACATCTTGATTTACTCAAAGAGTGAAGAAGAACATGAGGAGCACTTGATACTTGTCCTTGAGACACTACGGGAGAAGCAACTCTATGCCAAATTTTCTAAATGTGAATTTTGGCTAAAGGAAATTGGCTTTCTCGGGCATGTGGTTTCAGGATCGGGAATTGCTGTTGTTGGTCCCGTTTAATATTGTAATCAGTCTAGAGGGGGGGGGGGGGGGGGGTGAATAGACTGATTGGTTTTTCAAATTTTCTCTAAGTCCAAAGCGACTTATCAGAGAAGGTCTGATTCTGGTGACAGAGAAAGGCTGGTTCTGATATCAGAACTAGCCTTGGCAGCGGATTCTGATCTGTCCGGGTAGCCTCAGAAACACTAAGGCAAATGCCTTTCTGATGACTCTGAGAACAAGATCTGCTGAACACAGATTCCAAGTCTTAGAGTTAATCAGTTAATATCCTAAGTGCAGAAATATAAATTGCAGTAAAGTAAATGACACAGGATATTTTTATAGTGGTTCAAGGAACAACGCGTTCCTCTAGTCCACTGTTCCACTAGCTTTGAAGTAGATCGGTTACAAAGCTAATCCCTAGCACTTAAGAAGTTCTCCACGCCTTCTTCAAGCCTAGTTGTCACCCGGGATGCAGTCCTGCTTCCTGATGACTGGTCCTTTCACTCAGCTTCCCGGAAGTATCACCACTCCACTGCTGCAGTTACTTGGACGCCCTTCTTTGCAGAAGATGTTTTGAGAACAGAGTTTTCTCCAACTTGCTTCGTTACAAAAGATGTGTAGATGAAGATCTTGAAGTGTTGAAGAACAGGATGAACTTTGCTCGTTGTTGGGGATGAAAGATTTGGAGTTTGAATCTTCCCAACGTAGAACTTTTCTTGTAGAGTGTTATGAAGGTTGAATCTCAAGAAGTATGTTCAGAGTAATGAATGGAGCAAAAGTTGTGCTAAGAGCCTTGTGTCCTGTTCTTCGGTTTGTAGCTTATATACTGGGGTTGTCTGCCCGTTGGAGGAGGAGACAACTGCATTGAATGCGCGTACTGTTGACTTGACCGCCGTTTTGGAAGGTTTCTATTTTTATAATATATCTTCCCGGATTCCTTGGTCAATCATTTGCAATCAATCCTTCAGCGTATCAGGCTCATTTAATGTGCATTAAATGCTTTCCTTTCATGCACAGTCTTCTAGCCGTTGGATGTTTTTACCCGTTGGATTCATAGCTGTTGGATGTTGCTTGAAATCTTCTAAGTGTTAGTCGGGCTCTGATCAGGATCTTCTGATGTGTTGGATTCTGATGACTTTCTGAGTTCTGATGGCTTTCAGATGAGTTGAGTTCTGACGGCTTTCTGATCTCTGACTGAACTCTAACTCTGACTCTGATAGGTCCGCTGATGAGTACCTCTGATCTGTAACTCTCATCGGTTATCAGATGTCCCAATTCATCAGCAACTCTCATGGTGCAACTCTGATGGACTTCTGATAAGAGAGCTCTGATGGAGCAGTTCTCACAGAGCAAGTCTGGTCGAGCAATTCTGATGCACTACTGATCTGATCCAAAGCAGAGCAACTCTGATCGTCGACTACACTAATACTTACAATTGAAAATTCTAATACATAAAATCTAATTGGGGGTACTCTAACTTTCTAATCCTACAGCATCATCAAAATCTAATTACATTTATTCCTTACAATTTCCCCCTTTTTGATGATGCCAAAACCCTTAAACTATTTCCAGAGAAGTGCCTTTCACCATAAAAAAAAAATAAACTTTCATTTAGAATCTTGGTGGGCACTTGGCATAGGAAAATAGTAAGAGTAAGATACAATCAATCAGATAAACAAAGATAAGAAATAACACAATTGATATCAGAGCATAAATAATCAGAGTGCGAAAATAGAGATAATTTGAAATTGCCATGCAAAATAGAGGCAAGCTGGTTATTTTATATAAAAGGGAATATTTAAAGCAACAAGAGGATAGAGTTTAGATATCTTCCTCTTCTAGTTCAGCTTCCTTTGCTTCAATTTCTTTCAGATCAGCATTTACCTTTGCTCTGATGGAGGCCAAGTTCCTTGGATTCTGACATTCTGACCAGGCAGGTTCAAGCTTGCAATCAAGATAATTTCTGATGGCTTCAGAGATGTCCTTGCCAGGAATCACTTTCATGTGCCACCAATCTGCTGCTTCTTGCATGGAGCCACCATGATTTATGATGATCGTCCCATCTCTATCCAGACTAAGATTTTCCTGTTGGAGAGGTGTCGTGTGTTTCTTCATTTCTTGAAATTGAGCAGCATCAGGTTTGGCTAGATCACTTTTAAGCCATTGAGCAAGAGTGAAAGAGGAGGCTGTCTTCTTTCCTTTCTTTGATCTTGGAGGAGTTGGTCTCTGAATACCAGCAGCAATTTGTTTCTTCCTAGTTCTCTCAAAATATATTGTAGGATCAGGCGTACCAGAGATAGGGATCAGGGCTCTGGTGCTTGTACCTTCTGCTCCTTCTGCAGTTCTGACAGTTTTAGCAGAGTTGCTCACATCTTCCCCCTTTTTGGCATCAACAAGATCACCAAGCAGGAGTTCTATTTTGGAGAATTCGGTAGCATTAGTTTCTTTGATAGCTTCAAGGGCACCTGGGAGTGTCTGAGTCACAGAGGCCAGACCTTCTATCAGCTCTTTCTGCTTGCCCACAGCGGATTGAATAT